TGATCATTACTAGTTGATAATTGAACAATTACTATGTTTTATTAATGATTACATTTTCACAATAAGAAACATTGTTGATATTGGAAATATATTTTTATTTTGGTTTTAACTATGTTTCTTATGTGAAAAACGTAATCATTAACTAGAGAAATATAAATTACTATTGTTTATATGTGAAAATGTTATGTTTTGTCAGTTACTATGTTTTCATAACAAGAAACGTAGTCATTAATACAAAGAAACATAAACCAATATTTACTTTCATCAAATACTATGTTTTTTATAAAAAAAACGTAGTTAAAAATATTATAAATATTATATATTGACTCTACCAACAACAACTATGCTTTTATATATTAAAAAAACGTTATGTTTTATCAATTACTACATTTTCTTATTAAGAAATGTTGTAAATATTGAAAATATAAAATTTATTTTGTTATTATTTTAAACGATCAACCACATTTTATTTGTTAAAAACATAGTACTTCTAAAAAAATTCAAAATCCAAAATTTGAAACAATCTACTAAGCTTGTCTTTTAAAAATGTTGTTTTTGTTATAATTAATTTTATTTTAATAATATATTATAACATATGATTACGTTTCTAACATAAACAATGTTGTTTAAATGATGAAATTTTATTTATTAAGATTTTATTTTATACATCCTTCAACTACGTTTATAATTTAAAAAAAATTGTCTTTATTAGTCAAAAATAAATATTTAAATTTATAAAAATTCAAACACATGATCATTGCTAGATGTCCAATCATGTGGTTAAAAATGCAGTTTTGCCCAATCGTGTGGCTAGGAATACAGCTTTGTATGTCAAAATGGGTCTCAATTTATCATGCAATTATGTTGATTTTCAAGGCTAAAATAGATTGTAAAAAATTATTATTAAGGTAAAAAATGGAACAATTTTTATGTTTTTCCAAAAATTTTAAAAAACCTTATAGGAGAAATGGATTTCAAATTTAAGGCAATCACTTTTCTTTTTTGACATAGTTAGGAATCTTAAAATACCTCAAGAATTAGATACAGATACCGTTAACCAAACTAAAGAATTAAATTATAAAAAATAAGATTCTGGCCAATAATCTAACTTTCCTCTTAACCAAACATTCCCTTATTGTAGTAGGAATGTCTGCCTTCCACAAAAAGTTTCAATCCACTCTTGTGTTTGAGCTCTCTCCTAATATGCTACTCGGAGTTCTTCTCTAGCATATATTGGTCTGTTCATTTGCATATGTTAACCACTTCTTACTTTGTACACTCCATTCTTAATGAAATACTATATCATTACATCTGGACAATCAATACTGCTAATAGGAATAGTTCTAATTCCCTTGGTTGTATCTGAGGTGAAAAATGATTCTAGCTTCACCATATCCTACCTTTTTGTGTCATTTAATATTAAATCACTAACCTTGAGCTCATCTTTAGTGTCGACTCCCCTAGGAGTTGGTACAAAGCTCTCTACTATTAGTATCCACTTGTCTTTCCAGACCCGAATTTGTGTGTCATTTCCAACCCTCCATCGTAGCCCCATTTGCAATACACCTCTCATTACATATATACTACACCAGGAGTGAGATGGATAAGACCTTATCCTATCTCCCAAAAACATTGTCCTTAGGAAATATTTTGCCTTCAAGACTCTGTAGACCAATGAAGATGTATTTTGCAACAATCTCCATCCTTATTTAGCCATGAGAGCTTTATTAAACATCTTTATATCCCTAAATCCCATACTTATATCCTTGTTGCCACGGCATATTCAACTCCAACTCACCTAGTGTACTCCCTTCTTTTCACATCTCGTCGCCACCAATAGTTGCAAAGGATCATATTAATTTCATAGCACAAAACCATTTGGAAACATAAAACATGACATTGCATATGAATGTATTGCTTGTAAACAGCCTTTATGAAAACCTCCTTCCCTCATTGTGAAATCCATCTTGACTCTGGCTTTGTATTCTGACTTTCAGCTTGTTAAAGATGTTCCTGAAAGCTCTTTTTTTTTTTTTTTTGTTCTTGTCGACTATCATTGATAGGCCAAGATATTTCTCAAGGCTGTTTGTCCCTTGAATTCTAAAAATGCCTTTCACCTCGTCTATCATATCATTGCTAGTGTTCCTGCAAAAACATAACCTTGATTTATCAAAGTTAATTTTCTACCCAGGCCCTGTTTCATAAACTTTTAGCAAGTATCTCACTCTTGCACATTTGTTATTATTTGCTTTAACAAACAGCAAGCTGCCTTCTGTAAAAAACAAGTGTGTAATCCTTGGGCCATTCACATTTGCTTGAATCTCTTGTAGCACGCTTTCATTTTGGTCTTTGTTAAGAGCGCAAAAAGTCCCTTTGTGCAAATTAGAAGCAAATATAGAGAAGAGATCTCCTTGTCTCAAGCCTCTTTCTGAATGGAACTGATCGGTAATAGAACCATTAAAATTAATGCTATAAGACACTGAAGAAACGCAATGCATAATGAGCCTAATCCATCTCTCATTAAACCCTAATTTTCTCATCATGGTTTCTATAAAACCCCATTCCACCGGGTTGTAAGTCTTACTTGTATCAAATTTGATTGCTCCCCATCCTATTCCATTCTCTTTCTTCATCTCAAAGCATGCAATAATTCATATGCCATAAATACATTATCCGTAATTAACTTTTTAAGTATAAACGCACTCTAGTTTTTCCTAATAAAAAGTAATCATAGACAGTAAATATATGACGTTTTCAAGATCCAAATAGAGTATATGTGTATTTTACACAATTTTAACCGTAATAAACAATTATCTTATGCCAACTAGTTTTAGAATTTCATTAAACTTGCTACTAAATAAGCATTTCATTCAATCAATAACTGTCTCCAAGTACGAAAATATCTATAGTCACATGATCAAAAGAAAAGATCCCGCCTCCGGAGGCGTGGAAAGACCACTGTCCCAATACTAAGTGCCGGCAGAATTTAGCAGTAATTTACTCACCACCTAGAAACCATATCTTTCTCTCCAGTTTCTACTTTTACAGTTTTCAAAGGGTTTTTGTGATTTTGATTTCTAAAAAGATAATATTGGTTCAATAAAATAAAGAAAGATTTGTCGGCCCAATATAACCACACGCCAATAAAAAGAAACTCATGTGTCCATTAAGTACTTTCAGGTTGTTCTCCATCGATCAATAATCAATCATTATCTTATAACGATTTCAATTAAATTTGATTTAATTATTTTATAATATAATTTAAAATTTTTTAAAATTTAATTCAATTTTCAATTAAAATTTTGTATAATTTAATGTGATTGAAATCAAATTTAATTAATTTAATTTAATTTGATTTGATTAGGGGATTATTAAATTTTAATTTTTTTATATATTATTTTAATATATTTAAATAAATTCAATATAAAATAATTATTTTTATTTTATAAAAATTTTAGAATGTATAAAAATTAACAAAAATATATAATTTGTTTTAATTATTTTTTTTATTTTTTACTTTTTAATTTAAATTTAATTAAAAATCAATTAAATATTGAATTAAATATTATAATTTTAAATCAATTTTTAATTAAAATTTTTTTTTCTCAACTCTGATTAGCCAATCGGTGTCTGAACTCAATTGGTGCTTCCGAAATCAGCCACAATAATTACCCTTTCCTGAAAGCCCCACAAAATGGAAAAGCACGACTACTGCTAACAGAACTTGTGTCCGTACCAATTATAATTGTCGGTTTAGTAATTTAGTTGACCAAGAACGAGTCTAATCATATATCAGACCCTTACAACAGCCAAAAACATTGAAAATTCGATGTAACAGCTACATCAAAAAAAAAAAAAAATTTCTACGACTGAAAAATTTTCAGCACGTTAAAAGAGTGCAAAAGGTTTTTCCAGGAACTTCCGGTGGTTTCAATTTTGTTTTTGTGAACGGTGGGAAATGTGTTAATAAGGACTTATTTTTTAAATATTTATAATATTTAAATTCATGTAAATATTTATTTAAATTTAATAATATTATTTAAATTTGAATCTGTTTAAATAAATATTATTTATTCAAATATCTGAATTTATTAAAATATTTATTTATTTAAAATTTTTGTCAAAATATAAAAATAATTAAAAATTTAAATGTACTTTTAATTAATAACAAATAAAAGATATTCCCTCCATCTTATATTCTTTATCAATTTTTACTTTTGAAATGTCCTAAAATTATATTTTTTTAACATTAAAATTCTTACTTTTTATATTTTAAAATTATATTTATTTTTGACATTAAAAATCATGATATTTTAATTTTATAAAAAAAATTTTAATTTTAATATTAAATACATTAAAATTAAAAATTTTTTTAATTCAATAAAGTAAATACATGACAAACATTTTAAGGTAAAAGAAATATTTGTTAAAGTTTGAACCTTTCACAAATATAAAATTTTATATATTTTATATATGTAAATAAGTAATGAATTCGGATATAAATTTAAATATTTATTTTTATTTGTTAAAATTTAAATAAATTCAAATATTAAATATGTAAAAATATTATTCATATCATATTCAAATTCGTTATGAATTGTAAGTCTTATATTCAAATTCTTGACTTATAAGTCTACAATTATTTGAATTTGATAAAATGAAATTAAATAATAATAAATATTTATTTATTTATTTATTATCTATTATCATTTATAATGATGAAGATTTAGGAGAATTATTTTGAATATATATGATATGTAAGTGAATTATGTATATGTTAATTAATATGATATTTAAAATATTATTTATAATTTTAATTTAAAAATATAATATAAAAATAAATAAATAAATATGATATTATAAATTTATATCCTTATCCGCAATCTTTAAAAATTTGACCAATCATAACTAACTTCTACAATTTAATTAATTTGGCATCTTTTTTATATCCTAAATAAATGCTAGAATAATTAATGGCACTACCGTGGAACATTCTAGAATGATCGAACGGTTTCTCCTTCCATCTTGTGCATAAATTGCTTCATTGCCAAAAACCCACAAAATATTTCTTAGCTTTTGTGGTTCTTGAACAAGTTACAGTCGTCAACAGCTATGGCTGCCGTCAAAACACATGGAAGCCCTTTGTCAACAGCTACTCAGAGGGTTCTTGCATGCCTTTACGAGAAAGGGGTTGAGTTTCAGTTTGTTCCTGTAAACATGGGAGCTGGTGAACATAAATCAGAAAAGTACCTTTCCATTAATGTAAGTATGGAATACAAATCTCTCCTTCTGTTTTAGCTTAATAATTATTTAAAGAAGAGTGGATTTAGAACCTGTTTCATAAATTGCATTTTTGCTACTAGAACTTGCTCTGCAGAAAAACCTACCTCAATTTAGCCCTTCCTTTCTCATTTTGGAAAAGGATTTTCCTGAGCACCTCAACTATTCCATATCAGGCACTGAATTTTTTCATAGAAACCATTCTTTCCCTAGTTTCTATTTGTTAACTAGAAAACAAAATGCAAAAAAAACCAATGAAATCGAAAACCCCAAATTTTGTTAGAATTGCACAAAGCCAAATAATTGCTGCCAAATCTATATCAAAACTTAGTGCTTGTTCATTTTCCCCTAAACCCTTTTATGAGAATACCGCGAATCTAATATATCTTATCCGGTTGATGCAGCCATTTGGTCAAGTTCCAGCTTTTGAAGAGGGAGACTTTAAGCTCTTCGGTAAAGTTTTATGAGCGAAACCCTTAAACTATTAGCTAGGCATGAATATAATAATACCACTGTTTAGGTAATCCCTTCAAATTCTGAACTTGCAGAATCAAGGGCAATCACCCAATATATTGCCAATGAATACTCGGATAAGGGGGCCCAACTGTTATTGCCCGGCTCTAATAAGAGTATGGCGGTCTTACAATTGTGGAAAGAGGTAGAAGCCCACCAGTTTGATCCTGCATCTTCAAAGCTAGCCTGGGAGCTGTTTTACAAGCCATTTTTTGGACTGGCTACTGACACTGCAGTTGTGGAGGAAAATGAAGCTAAGCTTACCAAAGTTCTAGATGTCTATGAGACTCGATTGGCTCAGTCAAAGTACTTGGCATGTGACTACTTCACCTTGGCAGATCTGCACCACCTCCCCAACATTCAATGTTTGCTGGGGACCCCATCCAAGAAGCTGCTTGATTCACGTCCCCACGTTAGCGCTTGGGTAGCTGACATCACAGCAAGGCCAGCTTGGTCCAAGGTCCTCGCTATGCAAAAACAATAAAGACTTGGCACCTTCTAAGCTAGCTATTAGCATTCAATGAATAATGTCAGGTGTAGTCTTTTGCATTTTGGTTTCAGTATTGTATCTCTTTGCCATTGTCTCATAAAAAGTAAGTAGAAGATTTCTGTATTGTCTTCAACCTTCAATATGGGGGTTTATGCTTTTGTGTCTCCTCTAGTTGTCTTAGCCTTCAATCATCAAGTTGAAGGTAGTTTGAGTTTGTATTACTCCTCATGGGAAATATAAATAAAATTCACTTGGGCTTTTGAATATGATTTCTTCGGCTTGGCGGATGTGTACCACCAGCCTTTCCTGCATGATTACTTAATGAACACACGAGCTAGGGTGGTGTTTGAAGCATTAATCTACTAAGTTTGTGTTTGTCATGAAATTGCAAACACTTTATGTTTATCATTGATGTAATCAAATATATAAATATATAGGTGGCAAAGAATGGTTTACAAGGCTGAACAAAAAAAAAACAAAGTAAAAAGTAAAGTCTAAAAGGAAATATAATTGATCAACGACCATTGCCTAAATATCTTTTAATATTAGATGACGGTTAATCGAAAAGTAAGGAGAGATGAATGGATGTAATCTTGCTAATATTATTGCTAATAAAGATGGAAGGTTGTAGATATGGTGAGTTGCAATATAGCAACAACATTGTGGAAATTAAAGAGCTAATTAGCTTTTATAATCTGTAATCTTCAATAGTCCCCCTTAAGCTAGCAAGGAAGGAACTCGAACTCCCAGCTTGATGAGCAAATGTTGGAAGTCTTCTACACTTAACCTTTTTGTGAGGATGTCAATTAATTGCCATTGTGTTGGTATGTATTTGGGATTGAAGAGCTTGCTGATGAAGGTGATATTGAATGAAATGGCAACCGATTTCAATGTGCTTAGTTTTTCCATAAAATATAGGGTTGGTGACAATATGAATTGTTTCCTTATTATCACAGTACAAGTCAATTGTGCTATTTAAAGAAGAAAGTAGTTCATTCATTAGGTTCTTTAACCAAATCATCTCAGTTACTGTAACAGCCATTACTCGATATTCAACTTCTACATTGGATTTGGAGACAACTTTTTGTTTCTTTGACTTTCAGCTGATAAGAGATTCACTTGAGAAAATAATAAAATCATGATTGATCGATGTATGGTTGGGCATGTAGCCCAATCTGAATCACAAAAGGCTTTTATATGTAAATTGTTATGGTTGGGATAGAAAACACCTTATGAAAAAGTTTCTTTGTGATATTTAACAAGTCTTTTTGCCATGTTCCAATGAGGGACTCATGGAGTTTGCATGGACATACTAAGAATGTGAACTCTATATGCTATGTCGAGTCGTATGAGAGTGAGGTAAATGAAAAGACCAATGAGGCGTCTTTAAGCTTCTGTATCTTCAATAGGTTCTCCTACCTCAGCTAATAGATGATGTTGTTGTAGGATTGGTGTTCTAGCTAGAGTGGCTTAAACTAGTTCTATTTCTTGAACTATGTCCTTAATGTACTTATTTTGGTTAAGAGAAATTCCATTGTTGGTTTGTTGAATTTTTAATCCTAAGAAGTACTTCAAGGATCTGAGATTTTTTATTTGAAAATAATTATTCAAATATTCTTTAAATTCTTTGTTTTTGATTTTATTATTTCTTGATAGAATGAGATCATCAACATACATGACTATGATAATAAAATAGCCTTGTTAATATAAACAATGAGTGATCAACTTGACTTTGGTGAAAACCATATGCAATGAGAGCATATGAGAGTTTAGTAAACCACTGATGAGGGGTTTGCTTAAGTCCATAGAGTGACTTATTTAGTCCACACACCAAATTTGGATTATTATAGGGATATCTTAGTGAGGGATGCATAAAGACTTCTTCTTCGAAATCTTCATATAGAAAGACATTATTGACATCAAATTGATCTAACTCTCATTCTTTCATTGATGCTACTATAAGTAGGCATCGAATAGTTGTTAGTTTTGCTAGTGAGGCAAAAGTCTCATTGTAGTAAATGCCTTCCACTTGTTTGTATCCTTTAGCAACTAGATAGGCTTTATATCATTCTATAGATTCATCGACCATGTACTTAATTCGTAACATTCATTTTAAGCTGATAGCCCTTTTTTCTTTAGGCAAGGTTGTTAATGTTCAAGTATTGCTAGTTGGTTTCAAGTTTCTTACCCATTATTTCCTTCCATTTTTGATTGACCATAACATTTGAGTAAGTTCTTTTTTTGGTGCTATTGTGATCAATATTTGTCAACTTTTTTACACAATCTATAGATGTCACATTAGTTTACAATGAAATTGAAACTTCTAAATTTTTACCTACTAAAGAAGTGGTTGGAGTGGTGTTTTTAGATGGCTTTTTCTTTGATGACAAATTGCAAACATAGTCTACCAATATTTTTTGGGGTCTTTAATCTCTTTGGAGCCTAGTCACCTGCTCTATGTTTTTGTCATTGACAAACTATTCATGTTTTTCTAAGTTTAAAGGCTTATTGGGGTTTTGAAAGTTTTGGTTTGTTGGTTTGATCGTGTCTTTCTATTGTGTATTGTCTATGTAAGAAATGGAGGGAAAGATATCATTGTTTGACTATTTTTCAATGGGAGAACAAGTATGTGCATTTTCAACAAAGTAAGAAAATTTTTCCTCGTAGAATACAACAATGAGTCAAAAGTCTTTTTGTGTCAAGATCCATTACTTTGTACCATTTCTTTTCAGATGAGTAACTAAGAAATGCACATGGTTATACTCTATAAGCAAATTTGTCTAAAGGTTTTAGGTTGTTGTATGCATAGCAAAGACAATCGAACACCCATATATGATTATAGTTTGGTTTTTGTTTAAAAAGCAACTTATAAGGTGATTTTCCTTCTAGTTTTGAATAAGGGAGAATGTTTATTAAATATGTAGCAATTAAAACATTCACCCTAGAATTTCAAAGAAAGATTTGCTTGAAAATGAAAGGCTATTGCAACTTCTAAGAGATGTCTATGTTTTTTCTCTACCATTCCATTTTATTGGAATGGGTAAGAGTAATAACTTTAGGTGAGAAATGCCATTTTGGAGAAAGAATTTTCTTAGTTTTTCATTTACATGCTTGAGTGCATTATTAGATCTTATGGTTTGAATAGTTTCATTAAATTGATTTTGAATCATTTTAATGAAAAGTTCAAAGCTTTTATCAACATCATTTTTGTGTTTTATTAACTAAACCCATGTACTTCATGAAAAATCATCCACTAATGTAAAAAAGTAACTTGTTCCATTGTAGGACTTAGTTAAGTTAGGGCCCTAAATGTCTAAAAGAATCAACACAAAAGCTTTTTTTGATTTTATTGATATTAAATGAAAAAAAAAATGTCAAGTATGTTTTGCTCGATAACAAGCATCACATGGCTCAATATTTTTTATTTTTATTTTAGGGAAAATCTGTCCTAGCTTAGACATTGGTAGGTGTCCTAACATTCTATAGAATACCTCTCTTCAATTCTTGGTGAAGTTGGCATTAACTTTTGCTTTGCCTTCTTTATCAAAGTAGTAGAGGGCATTTCTTTGACAATCCATTCCAATCATTTTCTTGGTATTCAAGTCCTACAAAACATAAGAATTTTGGTGAGAAAGTGACATAGCAATTTTTATTTTTTGTTAGTTTGTTTATAGATATAAGGTTATAAGAGAACAACGACACAAGTAAAACACTTTTAAGAGTTAAGCCTAGGCATATGTTGGTTTTTCAAATATCATAACAGTTCTTAAAACATCATTTGGGAGGGCCACTTTGATAGATTTTTTATAGCTTATGTTGATCTTTTAATAGGGTAACGTCTCAAATTATATGATTTGAGGCTTCATTACCTAAAATTCACTTTACCTTTCCTTTGTAAATTGAATTTAAATTACTAATTTGATTTATTACTATTATTTTCTAAGCACCAAAGAAAGCAAGTAATTGTTCGTATTGGTCCTTACTCATGCCAATTATGTTCAGCATAATTTGAGAGGAACTTGAAAAGGTCTTTTTCTTAATTGCAACAACATTTGCAATGACGGTAGGTCTTCCTTCCTTAAACTTTCAATTTGGAGGATAACTAATTAATTCAAAGCATTTATCCTTTGTGTGACCTATTTTGTTGCAATAGTGACACTTATGTTTCTTGATTTGATCTTTAGCTTTGATTGTGTTGGATTGAACCTTGGATGCTACTGACTCATTGTTTGGCTTTAGGTTAGCACTTTGATGTGTTTCTTCAGAGCATATCAAAGGGTAAGTTTTGTTGAGAGTTGACAATGGTTCCATGCACTGAATATTCTTACCATCGAATATAAATCATTTAATTTTATTATAAACTGGTGAGATTTTTCTTGCTTCATTTTGCAACTATGGCTCAACATGTGTATCCATTATAGACATTTTTGTGAGGTTAAGTGTAAACTCCAAGCTGATCCCACAAAACATTAAGCTTGGTATAATAAGTTAGCACTATCATATCCCTTTGTTGAGTATTAGTGATTTTCATCTTGATCTATGGATTCAAGCACCATTTATTTGAAAGAATCTCTTTTTAAAATCTTTCCAAATTTACTAGCTGTATCATGATATGCCACACTATCATGAAGTTATTTATTGAGAGAAAGTTTAATAGTCAAGACATTACTATTGCATTTTAGGTTTTTCAATCTTCTTTAAATGGATCTCCTGCTACTGGTTTTGGCATTTTGCCATTAACAAACCTTGTCTTGTGTTCAAAACTAAGGAATTCAGAATGGTTCATCTCCGAGTAAGTTAATTTAACTTTTTAAAGAATTGAGCTATATTATTATTGTCATTATCATTATTATTACTTTTTATTTTCTTTCCTTTTCTCTTTGTAGGGGTTTGAACAAGGAAACTGAATTTGAAATTAACTGGAATAAAGAGGAATGGATTCACACAATCAAAAGACTTTTTATTTGGAATCAAATTAGTAAGACAAATTGCCAAACCTAGGCCTAAAATCATACTCAGATAAAATCCAATCCCATGATTCAAGCCTAGATTAGTTTTTTCAGATCCTTAAAATCCCTACTAAAGATTGCCTATAAATTGGACAATATTTCTAAGAATAGAATAGAGTTGATTTTTGGGG